ATTATTATTTTTAATAAGATGATTTGTTTGTTTGATGTCCAATGGATTGAAATGATTTAAGGTTTGATATTATTTTGTCATCTTAAAGAGATTGACTAATGGATTAGATATGTATATGATAGAAAAATATCTTAGTTTAAAAATGAGATATTTTTAGGTAATGGATTAAAGGTAATCTAGAATTATGGATTGATTTAAGATCTAAGATTGTGACAGAAGTAAGAGAAAAAGGGGTGATTAATGGAATATATATATTAAATTGATTAAGAATGTGGTTTTTTTTTAGAATGATAGATTTATTTGTAAGAAAATTATTATGTAATGTTGAGTTAATCTAATAAGATGATTTGTTTCTTTGATAACATGGATGTTATTAGTTATGAAAATTAACTGGATGAAATTTGAATATTATCGAATGGATTGAAATGACTTAAAGTCGGATTTTATTCTGTCAGCTTAAAGAGATTGATTGATAGATAGATTAGATACGTATAGGATAGATTAATATTTTATTTTAAATAAGGGATATTAGTGGAAGAAGAAATAAATAAGATTTATGATAAAATTAAGGAACTAGAACATATTTGGAAGGGATACCCAAACTGATAATGTTTGTACTTAAAGTTATTTTGATTATGGTAGTGTAAATTTATAAAGCTTTAAAAACAGGTTTAGGTTGAATAAATTTAAGCTAGAATTGGACTATTTTAAATAAAATATGTTACTTAAGGGAAAAAGAGAGGGAATAGTTGATGTATTGATTGACTTATGTATATATGTTTTGTTTTTCAATGTTTGACTACCCTAACACCACGGTGTGTCTTGAGTACTTTGTTTTAAAAATCAAAAAACCAATAAAACTTGTTTAAAAAAAAGAGTAAGTTTGCAGAATTAGCGGAAAGGATAAATTGTAGCAAAGTAGAGAAATATACCATAGAGCCTCCCCCTTCCCCTTCAAGAGAATGGCAGAACCCTCTGTAAGATAGAATAAAGAGATGAAATAGATTTCCCCCTCCCAGGAAAAAGAATGGGTTATGACACTTCTTCTTTTTCCACTGATTTCTCCAGAATAACTGTCTTACAAGTGAGTCAGCTCACATGATATGGCCCAAAAATGACAGTTTCTGTTTGGTAATCTTGACTTCAAATGACTTTTTGGGTAAGGTTTGATTTAAGACTTCTTTGTTATTTTTGCAGTCCATGGGTTGCATAATAATCACCTGCAGACCCAGAGTACAAAGGCATCTGCCCTTCTCCTATCTGCTTTTCAAAGTCCAAGTTTCGTAGTCATAAGTAGCAATTGGAAAAATTGTGTTAAATAATCTTCATTTGGTTGTGAGACTAATGTCATTACTTTTTCAGATCTTGTTCATGGCAGACATGCAGTTCTTCCAAGTGCTATGCCCCTTCTGATCTCAGGACTGCAATCACCACTTTGGTTGATTTTAGATCCGAGGAAGATGAATTCCTTTACAGGTAATCTGCAAGTTATGAGCATTCACTTAATGCTCAAAGTTATGTGATGAGCACCCCCTAGTGCTTACAAGTAAGTCCCAAAGTTACAAATATTGCAGCACCACGGTAGTTGTTCACCCTTACAAATGACCGCAGTGGCTCTGCAACATTCACCCTGGTTATTCCCTCCCTCCCCACCCCCGCCTGGGTCTCCCTAGGCACCAGGCCTTCAATACTCACCCTGTGAAAATCAAGATCCTTCACTTTATTGGCTGCTCCAGGCCTTTGGTGCATTTGCAGAGAATGGAGGCCTAAAGTAACACAAGATCATGTGAGATCAGTGGGGCAAGATCTCACTCTACTGATCTCATGTGATCTCATGGTACTTTAGGCCTCTGTTTTTGCAACAGAGAACAGAACCGAAGCTGGGGGACGCTTCTATGTGTCTCCAGAAGCTAGATCTGGGCTCTGGAGGTCTTTTCCAGGCTTCTGCAGCCCAGATCTAAGGCCTGGGGAAGCTTTTATGCTCCCTCGTGGCCCAATCTGGGCTCCGGAGGCCTTTTCCAGACCTGATCTGGCCCCGGGGGGGGGGTGCAGAAGCGTTCACCAGCCTCAGATCCGGGCCACATCACCCTGGAAAAGGCCTCCGGAGCCTGGATCGGGCTGCGCGGGATGTGCTGAAGTGTTCCCCAGCCTCATATCCAGGTGGCAGTAGGAACCGTTGCAGAGAGGAGGTGGATCTTTTCCAGGTGAGTCCGGTGCGACAGGAAGGAAGGGGGCAGCATGCGGTACCATAGTGGGTTGGGGAGACCTTGGGGGCCTGTTCCAGCACTAGGCCCTCCATGGCCTTACCCACCCTGAGATACCTGTATTGTTTCAATAGTTCCATTGTCAATCTGCACTGACCTTTGTTTTCTGCAGTTGTCATTATCTTTGGGTTTTTTGATGTTAAGGTGCAGTCTAAATTTTTCACTTCCATCTTTAACTCAGGATTAGCCATTCTAAATCCTCTTGCTTCCACAAACAATGCTGTATCATCTGCACATTGGAGGTTGTTGATATTCCTACCACCTATTTTACCTCATTGGTAGATTCCTCCAAATGTGCATTTCTCATAACTATTTCTGTGTACATGTTGAATAGTATAGGTGACAGGATGCAACCTTGTTGAGTGCCTTTTCCAATTCTGAACCATTTTGTGTCTCTATATATCATACTTACAGTGGCTGCCTGATCAGAGTACAATGACTGAATGAGCTGGATGTGGTGTGCTGATATTCCAGTTATGTGAGGCAGTTCCAGAGTTTGTCATGGTCCACATAGTGAAAGCTTGTTGTGTAGTCAATGAAGCACATGTGGAGGTCTTTTTAGTATTCCTTTGCTTTTTCTATCATGCAACATAAATTGGCAATATGATCATATGTTCTTCTTCCTTTCTGAAATCCTGCTTATACATCAGGCAGTTCTCTGTTGGCAGTTGGATTCAAATGTTGCTGGATTATTTTCAAGAGAATTTTACTCACATGTGGTATCAAGGCTATGGTTCAGTGTTTGGAACAGTTTTTCATATCACCTTTCCTTGTGATAAATATTGAACTTTTCCATTCTTTTGGCCTCTTACCAGACTTCCATACACTTTGACAAAGTGTTGTCAGTGCTTCTGTTGGCAGCAACTCTGCAGGAATTCTATCAGCTCTTCGGGCTTTGTAGTTAGGAAACTCATTGAGTGCCCACACTATTTCCTTCTTCAGGATATCTGGTTCTATTTCTGGTACATCAGCTTCTCCTCTTACGGCTTGGCCTTGTTTTTCATTTGGGTAAAATTGTTCTTCATATTTCTGCCATCTTTTTCTGATTGTTTGTTGGTCATGCAATTCCTTCACATCATGCCTCTGATCATAGCCTTTCTTGTCATAAAGGGGTTTCTGGCCTTTTTCACATAAGTGTAACACTCTCTTGTATGACCTCTCATGACTGCTTCCTCCAGTTTCTTACATTGCTCAGCCAGTACTTTTCTTTATCTTTTCTTGCCTCTTTCTGGAACTTTGTATTTAATTTTTACATTTCTTCTTTGTCACTAATGTTTTTGCTTCCCTTCTGTCTTCTGCAGTTTCTATTGTAGCTTCTGATATCCATATGGCCAATTTCTTTGGTTTCTTGTATGTAATATGTTCTTGGGCTACTTTAGTGACAATAGTTTTTATTTACTCCCATAGCTCATCTGGTTGTCTTTCTGTGACCTTGAGCAGTGCAAATCTGTTCTTAACTTCAACTGCTAGGGGAATCTTCTTGATGTCAAATTTCTGAATCATGTGTGGTCATTTGACACTGCAGCACCTGAACTTTACTTTGGCAGTTAACACATTACATGAGAATAAAAGTGGATATATCAGAACTGCAGAAACAAATCAGTCTAGACCCAATAGGAAATAGCCATATGTTAAACCAGGGGTCTTCAGACTTGGCCTTTTCATGACTTGTGGACTTCAACTCCCAGAATTCCTCAGACAGGCAGGCTGGCTGAGGAATTATGGGAGTTGGAAGTCCACAAGTCATAAAAGGGCCAAGTTTGAAGACCCCTGTGTTAAACTATACTATATGAAGGACATACAAGAAAAAAAATGAGTAAATTTTTTATACTGGCAAAGAGATGATATGGTGGTAAATGCCACATTTATCAAACCATTTTTCTGGGACTATTTCCTCGGGTAGAGAGAAGGATTGGGTATCAGAGCATGAAATAATGCATAATCTGATCAATCACAATATAAAAATTAGTGCACGGAGCTAATGAGAGAGAGGGATGATAGATACATCATCCCACCCATCAAGTTGTTTCCTTTATGCAGCATAAAGGACAGATCACCTGATGCTTTACTTTCCTTCTCTATGCTGCTGCTGTTATATACATAAATGGGTTAAAGCTGGAACAAGCAAAGAGCCTCTCTTTGGGATTATCCTTGCTAATCATCTCCAGTATTGCTTCAGAGACACTAGAAACCTGTGTGCCTTTTGATAAACATAGATAATGTAGATTGTTGATTTTTCTTTTTGGTGCCTTCAAATTGGTGTTGGCTTCTAGAGATTTGTTGAATTGTCGCTGCAGTTTTCTTGGCAAGATTTTGGAAATAGTTTGCTCTTGCCTTCTTCCTAGGGCAGAGAATAACTGGCCCAAAGCCACCCAACTGGTTTTGTACCCAAGGTGGGACTAGAACTCACAGTCTCTGGTTTGTAAACTGGTGTCTGAACCACTACAGCAAACAGGTTCTCTTAAATTGTTGCTATTAACTCTTGCCTATTTTTCTCTTGCCTATTGTCCTTGCTTTTGCCTACTTTTTGTCCCATGTTAACAAATGAAATGTTTTTTTATCTTTGATGATAATTAATAAATAAGCATCAAGCTATATTTTTTGGGCTAGCTGAACTGTGTAACATGGTCTCTGCTTTGTGCTCTAATCTGGATACATGAATTGGCTGGAAGGCTGCTGGGTGCAAACTAAATCCAATAATTTTCCAACAGTAGCATTGTCCAAGAAATAATTTACCTAGTGCAACTCTTGCAGCAGATGCATCATAGTTGATCCAGAAGGATACCCAAGACAGAATTGTAATTAGAGTAGAAGGCATGTAGGTTTGCAGAATGAAATAGCCGATATTTCTTTTCAGTCGAAAACTCAGGGACAGACGGGGGTAAGCCCCTATTTAAAAAAAAATGAAATGAAGTCATGTTTCAAATGTATTTGTTTTCTGCTAATGTTCCAGTATATCTTTGCAGCTGCTTGGTGCTTACCTGTTGCAAACACTACTCTTTTTGAGATCATTTTGTAATCAATAATCGAGAACTGAGGGAGCTCGATTTTATTAACTCCGCTAACAGCAGATTCCCCTCCATTCCAGTAGAATTCAATATCATCAGTTGTGTATCCATCTGCAGTTGGAGACATATAAGTAAGTATGTTAATTTGTCAGCTAAATGTTTTACAGTTAAAATTTCTTTCTAAATAAAATTGTAAAGAAGACATAAGATTAGGAGACGTAATTTAAATTATAACATTGTAAATATTTCACAGCTGTGTAGCAATAAATCCAGCCTACATCATATCTTTTTTGAACAAGCTACTTTTGTTCCATTTAATACTGCATATTAAATTGATATCCCTTTTTATGATACTTATTAAATTCTTGTTTTAAAAAGCAGAGAGTCAAAGTTAAAAGATTTTAGAGAAATTTGTCCATTTTTCTATCAAATGCATCATAGAACTGCCAAATATTATAAAATTTAATGATGAATAGAATAGAATAGAATAGAATAGAATAGAATAGAATAGAATAGAATAGAATAGAATAGAGCTGGAAGGGACCTTGGAGGTCTTCTAGTCCAGCCTCCTGCTCAAGCAGGAGAACCTATATCATCTCAGACAAGTAATTGTCTAGCCTCTTTTTAAAAATCTCCAGTGATGGAGCGCCCACGATTTCTGGAGGCAAGGTATTCCACTGGTTGATTGTCCTCACTATCAGGAAGTTTCTCCTTAATTCCAGGTTGCTTTTCTCTTTGATCAGTTTCCAACCATTGTTTCTTTTTCCCTCCCTCTGGTGCTCTGGTGAACAAGGTGGCCCCCTCTTCCTTGTGGCAGCCCCTCAGATACTGGAATACTGCTATCATGTCTCCCCTATTTCTTCTTTTCTTTAGACTAGCTAAACCCAAGTCCCACAGCCATTCTTTGTATATTTTAGTCTCCAGGCCTTTGATGATCTTAGTTGCTCTTCTCTGAATTTTTTCCAAACTCTCATGATCTTTTTGTGATATGGTGACCAAAGTTAGCTGCAGTATTCCAGGTGTAGTCTTACTAGGGTTTTATAAGTGGTGATAATACCTTGTGTGATCTGGGTCTGTTTTTTTTTCCTTTCTTGAAGATGGGGACCACATCAGTCTTTTTCCAATCCTCAGATACTTCCCCTGTGCTCCAGGATTTTTGAAAGTTGTGGTGTTTTGGTTCTGAGATAACATCTGCCAGCTTCTTCAGAACTCTGGGATGTAATCTGTCGGGTCCCGGTGATTTATATTTGTCAAGATTGGTGTTCTCTTACCATTTTCTTGCTTATTTTAATTTTTGTTTCTAATTTGTCTTTTGCAGTGGTTTTTTTGGTGTGCTAGGCTATGGTTTCTTTTTGTGTGAAGACTGATATAAAGTATGAGTTAAGTAGCTCTGCTTTCTCCCTCTTGCCTGCTATTTCCTTACCATCTTCTCTCTTTGGTGGGCCTATAGTTTCTTTGACTTTTTTCTTGTTAATATGTTGGAAGAAACACTTTTTATTGTGCATGATTTCTGTTGCAAGTCTCTGTTCTTTCTGAGTCTTTGCTTTCTTGACTTCATCTTTGCATGTTCTGGCTGGCTGCTGATAATCAGCCTTAATTATATGCCACTCTTTTCATTTTTTGTATTTGTCCTTTTTGTCTTTCAGTTTGTCAGAGAGACTTTTTTTAAGGACCCTCTTCAAAACCTCTTCCCAGGAAAGCAGAACTCTTGGAACAGATTCATCCCAAAAGGAACTTTTATTAGGAGAAGTTGACAGCAGGCATAGAAAGCAGGATCTGAGGGTTTCCCACTCAAATCAATAAGTTAAAGGAGCAAAAAGCAAACCCTATCCCAACAGTTCATCCAGTCAGTTCAAACGGGCCAATCCCCAGGTGTTAGATCTGCTGTGGGAATGAGGCTGATAAGACTCCATTCCCAAGGTTGTGAAAATGTTGTTGGGTCTTTGCACCTTCCCTTCCACAGTGAGAGATAAGCCAGATGTCTGGAAGTACGTTCCTTTCTCACCCCAGGTTGGCATCAAGGGGCGAATAGTTCAAAGAGCAAGCAGATAGAGGAAGCAAAGAGGATACATTGTAGTAGCTAAGCGAAAGGCCAATAGACATACAATTCCCCAAAAGCCTCCCCCTCCCCCAGGAGTATTGCGGATTCCATAGAACGGAAAAGAGAAGGAAATGAATAAAAAGCCCCCCACCAAAGAAATGGGTTCTGACATGCCGTCCCTCTTAAAAGAAAGAGAGATCCACCTGTAAAAGACAAAAAAGGAGATAAAAAGAGGGATTAGTCTGGTTTGTCAGGGTACATAGCATGGAATTTACTAAGTAGTGTAGGGGCTCTAATATGGCATTTAAGGACCCATTCATTCTGGGATGGAGACAAATGCTTCCAAACAACTAAATATTGAGTGGATCCATGATGTTTCCTAGAGTCTAAAATGTCTTTAATTTTAAAATGCTGCTCCCCTTCTACCATGATTGGAGGGGAAGGAGGGGCTGTAGCTAGCCTTAAAGATGAGTTCAGTTCATGCTTTAAAAGGCTGATGTGAAATACTGGGTGAACCTGTCCGAATGTCTTAGGGAGCTCTAGTTCAACTGTTACTGGATTAATTATTCTTTTAATGGGAAAATGTCCTACAAAGTTTAGTCCTAGTTTCTTAGAGGGTTGTAGGGACCTCAAATATTTTGTAGACAAGTATACGTTATCTCTTACTTGAAATGGTTTGGGCTCAATTAGTTTTTTCTCTGCTTGGAATTTATATGCCTCCCTAGCCTCATCTAAAGCTTTCTTCCCAACTGGCCAGGTATTTTGGAGTTGTGCAATCCACTCTTTCAAAGAGGGGATAGTTGGTTTGGTGGAGGGTAGTTCAGGCATCAGATTAAAACTCTGCCCTGTCGCTACTTGGAACAAAGTGTAGCCTGTGCTGGAATGTATTGCATTGTTATAGTGACTTCTATGAATGGAAGCAGGTTGGTCCAGTTCTCTTGTTGGTAGTTTATAAAGTATCTTATGTACTGCTCCAATACTGAGTTCAAACATTCTGTCCCACCATTCATCTGAGGATGATGACTACATGACAGCCCCTAGGTGGTACCCAAAAGTTCTAGAAACGCGTTCCAAAACTCAGAGGTAAATTGCAGCCCTCTATCTGATATAATCCATTGTGGGGCTCCATGTAGTCAATAGATAGGTTGTACAAATAATTTTGCTAAAGTTTTTGCAGTGGGGATTTTCTGGCATGGAATAAAATGCACCTGCTTGAAAAATAAGTCTGTTACAACCCAAATCACTATATTTCTCCCGCTTTCTGGTAACTCCACAATAAAGTCCATAGAAATCTCCCTCCAGGGAGCTGATGGTATAGCTACAGTTCATAATAGTCCTGGGATTTTCTCCTGTCTCCTTTTGGCTGCTGCATATATTGAGCAACTAGCTACATAGCTTTCAATATCCTTTTTTATCGATGGCCACCAAAATTGCCATTTCACTAGATGGAGCATTTTCACAAACCCCAAATGTCCTGTGGACTTGGAATCATGGCAAAGCTGCATAAATATTAGTCTTTGGCTCTTTGAAATGTAGAGTTTCCCTCCCACCCATGGAAGTCCATCATTCATGGTGCACAACTTTTTGTGGCTTAGAAACCATTCATCTTTCTCTAGCACTTACCTGAATTCTACCCCAGCTTGGCTTAATAGGGTTTTTGGTGTTTTTGCTTGTGCTCGAGTGGTGACTGGTGCTGCTAATTGCTTTGATGGCATGAATGGATCTGTTATCTCTGATTTGTTGCTGTTGTAGTGTGGTAATTGTGACAGTGCGTCTGCTAGGACATTTTTCCTCCCGGTAGATGTTTTATGGTGTAATTGAACTGGTGGAAATGCTGGGACGATCTTGCCTGTTTGGGAGACAACTTTCTGGGTGTTTTTAGGGCTTCCAGGTTCTTGTAGTCAGTCCATACTTGGAAAGGGATTTTATTCCCTTCCAAGAAATGTTGCCAGGTTAAAAGAGCCCACTGGACGGCATAAGTTTCCTTTTCCCAAACCGCCCAGCTTTGTTCTGTTTCTGTGAGTTTTCTTGATATGTAAGCACAAGATTGTAATTTTTCTTCATTATTCTCCTGAAGCACAGCTGCTCCCACTGCTACGTCATTAGCATGCGCTTGAATTACAAAAGGTTTCTCAGTGTCTGGGTGTTTTAATACTGGTTTGGCTGAGAACCTTTTTAATTTCTCAAAAGCAGATTGGCATTCTACAGTCCATCTCAATGGTTGACTGGGCTTCAGTTTTCCCTCCCCTTTTGTCATTAACAAGTTTGTGATGGGCAACACAATTTGTGCAAAAGAGGGGATGAATTGATGGTAAAAGTTTGCAAATCTGAGGAAACTTTGCAATGGCCTCCTAGTGTGGGGTGGAGCACATTCTAGCACAGCCTGGACTTTTCCAGGGTCCATCTCTATGCCGTTTGATGAGATGCAATATCCAAGGTAATTGATTCTGTCTGTGCGGAACTCACAACACCCCCTTATAGAGGTATTCCTGGAGCAGCTCATTTATCAATTGCATAAATACTGCAGGTGGTCCCTAAAGTCCAAATGGCAGAACTCTGAATTGGAAACAACCTAAGGGGCAATTGAATGCTGTTTTCCATTCATCCCCTTTTTTGATTCTGATTCTGTAATATGCCTCTCTCAAGTCCACCTTTGAAAAAAAATCTTCCCTTTAGACCCGTGGTTCTTAACCTGGGCGATATCGCCCTCCAGGGGGCGATTTCATTTTTTAGGGGGGCGATGGAACAAAAAGGAGCGACGTGGGGGTGAAGGATCAAAAAGGGGGCGATATGGGGGTGATGGAGCGAGAAGTTTTGGGGACACTTTTGATACTTTTTCATACAGTGAATTGCTGTATATCTGTTGTAAAAAAACATCAGATCGCTCGCAATTAGTGGATTGAATTGTGTTTTCAAATGTTCCTCCAGCTAGCTTCAGTACAAAACGCCTTACATATGTAAATACGCATTGCTTATCTTCATGCACGTTGTGCAGCAGCCTCTACCCTTTTTATATTTCTTTTTGCGTCTTAAATTTCACTTGTAATTCAATCATTAAATGTTACTGTTTTTCTTTTCAGGCATTT